GGGTAGAGCCCCGGTTACAGCCCGCAGCCACGGAGGGGGCTGGAGGGGAGAACGGGGGGAGTGGGGTGTGAGAGAGAAAGGGCTGGGGCAGATATGAGCCAAAATGGAAAGGTTTGGGGAACAAACGCGCTGCCCCCGCGCACCCCAGCTCTGCCAGGGACACGGGGAAGTCACCCCCAAGGCGGGAGGGGACGGAGGGACAGAGAGGGAAATGACCCCCAAACCGGGGGGGAACGGAGAGGGAAGAGCAGCTGATGCCTCCTGGAAAACCCCAAGGCAACCCTTCCTGAAAGGGCTGTGCAGCTCCTGGTCTTGGGGTTTCGTGGAGACAAAGGGGCCCTGATCAGACCCTGCCCGGCTCCCGCGAGACCCCCGGGGCGGTGAGAAACCGGGGGGGCACTTCAGCACCCAAAGGGCTGCCAGGCACTCTCAGCGAAAAAATCCCAACCACTTCCCTCCCAAAGATGGAACAAGTGGATTTGTCTACTCATTAGTAGAATCAAGAGGATAGAACTGGAAAGGAAGAGTCATCTTTAACCTGTACTTGGCTTGGCTTTACTCCACATTTCCCACTAATGAGTGGGGAAGAAGCTGTGACCACAGTCCCTGTCAGCGTTTTTCCTGTGGAAATCACACTTACAAAAGGGATCTGCCCCTGCCTGCAGCCTGATGCTGCTCCACCAGAAACCAGGACACCACATTAACAAGTGCACAGCCCTCGGTCTGGGCTCAATCCATGGTTTACGATCTTTGAGCTGCTGTGGAGAAGATGTTTCACCCCGTCCTGCATCTCAGCTTCACCCATCTGCAGTCAGAACTAACGCCACCAGTCTCTGTGATAAAGCAACCCGAAACGCACGGGTGAAACCTGCCCGTTACAAAATCCTGCCTCCGTACAGGAAGGCAGCAAGAGGGGCTTCCTAATGGTCCATGAACATTTGCAGTGGATTTCTCAGGAAATCTCACGGCTGCCCAGCTTCCATCAATGACTGACTTCACCAGAGTGAAGGTCTGACTGTAAATTAATCTATAAATTATTCTTTTTTTGTGATTTAAACCTGTGAATCCTCAGACCACTCCTTGTCTGAGCTGGCACAGATTGTGCAGTGGCATGACAACCTCCTAACTTCTTTTTGAGACTTTTACATGTGACAGTTAATCAGCTACCAGGGGGCTGTGTACCAAGATGGGTTTATCTCCACATTTCCTAACACATTCATCAGAAAGGATTTCCACATGCTGCTGAGTTTGTTTGTAACATGCCACTCCAGAGAAACTCTCCTGCTCCTGCTTGTCTCTGTTGTCCATGTCACACAGCAAAGTCCAGGGTGGGGGTCTGGGCAGGCAATCCTTGACCTGGAGTTGTGCTTGAGTTTGAGACAACCAGTGACATCAGCACAGATCCAGTATTTTCTACTACGCTTACAGCTTCTCTCTGGGGACAGCTCTAGGAAAGCTGAGGCTTCTGGCAAGAGGAGTTTCAAATGCTTGGTTGGTGCCAGCTGGAGCAAGAGCAGCAAGGATTGCTGCAGGTTCCACATGCACCCTCATCCAAGAAGTCGGGCAATGACAGCAGGCAGCTTCTCGCTGAACCCAGCGGAGAACAGTGCAGCCCCCTCCTGCGTCCTCCTGCAGGACGCTCTGACAGCTGCTCTCAGCACCATCCCTCCACATCAGCATCTCCACGGGACTGAGCTCCCTCCAGCACAACCCTGAACTTCAACCTTCCCACCCTCCAAACACAGGTGCCATTCACTTCCAGTAGCCCAGAGGACAAAACCTGTGCCAACTGGTCTGAATGCTCATGTGTCTGCAGCCCTGGAGCCCGGGAATAGCAGCCTCTGCAGAACCCCAGCACGGCACATTTCTAAGGATTTCACTGATAAGGCATTGCTAAAGCAAACAAGCTCATTAATGAATCACTGGTGGACAGAGGCAGGGCTTGGAGAGAGCGAAGTGGCTTGTTATTGCTGGGTCTGCCAGAGGGAGAGATGAAAAAAGAGATCTAGAGGGCAAAAGATTTTGTCTCACACTTGAAATATTTTCAAAGCTGGAGAACCTACTCCTGACAGAAGCTGGCAAGTACCTTCCTTGTCCACCTTTAAATTAAGCCTTCAAAGGGAGGACCAGAACTTCTCCAGCCCACAGCTGGGGTTAGATAAGCAAACAGAAGAAAGAGAAATCAAGAGCTGGCTCCAAAAATCAAGAGCTCATTTAAAACTCACAGCATTTAAAGTATCAACATTCACATGGATATTTCCTTCTAGTGTTTAAATCACAGTTTTTCCTTTGCAGCCATGAAGGAAATTAAAAAAACAGACAAAAAAATTCTTACACAGTCATGTTTCTCCAGAAGCGGCTGCTTTAGAGAAAGCACCAACAACTCACTGCAGATGTATGAAATCCCCTTATCTTGCTTGGGCTCAGGGCTGTGCTTTCTGCTCAGAGGAGTACTAGTATCTTGGTGCAGCACCTGGCGTTACACACTCTTTCAGTACAAAATAAGACATAGGGAAAGTGGGAGATACCATTAATTCCACTAAATTCACCGAGTGTTTTTGCACTCTCTGAAACAGTAGATCGGAAATGAAACTATCTCAGCACAGGGATGCTCTAACATTGTGTTCACACACACTACCAGAACATGACGGGCCAGAACCAGGCAGGCTTTTGGGTCTCTGCAGTTCTGGCTTCGTGATGTCTTTGGTTACTTCGTGCTTTGAACTGGGAGACAGAACAGAACATCACGCTCATAAATGTGTCTGTTTACGCTGATTTGCTTATTCAAGTTGGCTGGAGGAGGCAGAGAAAGGGCATCAAATGCATCCACAGCCAACAGCCCACCTGATCTAGCTCTGGAGTTGAAATACAAATACCAATCAGGTACACAAGTTTCTTCATGGAAAACGCTTTGGGAACCAGTGATAAAGATGTCCTATAAATCTAAACTTGCAGTCATAAACCTAAACTCGCCTTGGTGTCAGTCACCTCAGTGCTCGCACCAAAGAGAAAGCAACAGCCACATGTTCCATTTTATAAGTTGGTGCTCAAGTCCAAGTGAAGATAATAAAGAACAAACAAAGCAGCACACACCATTGCAGTACACAGATACTTATCTCCTAAAGAAACATTCGTGTTTTCCTAACACAGGTCTTGCTTCAGTTTAGTGTTCATGATGGACTGGTTTCTACACTGAACCCCAAGCTGAACCCCATAGAACAAAACCACAAAGGCTTTATCAGCAGAGTTTAAGAATTAAGAGCTTCAAGATCCAATTATTTAGCAAAATTTTTTTTGTGTGTACTACAAAGACCCACATTAGTCACTTCCAGCTAAATCCTTTTGCCTCAGTCACACTAAAACCCCTTGCAGTTATCACACCTCCTTAAAACCACAGATTGAAATCTCAGTAAGGATTACTCACCATTCGTCTTTTCAAAGGAATAAATTTAGTTTGACTGGTTTCTTTGCAATTACTGCCCCATCCTGCATAAACAAGAAGGAACACGAGGCTGTCTTCTGGGAACAGGAGTGGTATTCCAGCTGCATACCTTCCCTGGGTTGTATCTCTCTACGGAGTGGAAAGGGCTTCTTTCAACAGTGTGCACTCATAACTTGGAAGAGGTATGAATAGTTACATGTGAGTTAATAATTAATAATAATAGTCCTATTTAAATTACAAGCAAGGAGACACCAGCCACTGTGACTGTCAGGCAGCCCACGTTAATGAGACTAAAGTTTTGTATTTTCACAAAGTTCCCTTTCCTCTTGTCTTTGTGAACTGTTATGAAGATCAGAGTAGTACACTGCAAGCTGTTCTCCAGATCCCGTTCCTTCCTCCAGGATGAAACCAAAGCAAGTCTCCCACATCTGGATCTGGTGCAAGGCACAACTGGATCCCAAACAATCCGAAGCAATAGAGTCTGTACCACATGGCAGATCCCCAGCCTTGCACAGAGCCTACGGGGAAAGGTAAGGCTCAGCACGGACTCTGCAATAAAACTTTCCGAGCATTTATGAGCTTATAGAAATACACACAGCATGGCACACCCTCACAGAGCTGCTAGGCCTTAGAGGCTGGGTTTACCCAGAAGCATGGGCTCTCACCTGATCTTGCTCCTCAGGGAGCTGTTGGTTGCCTTGGCAAAGCCGAGATTCGATTCAAGGTGAGTTTTGGAAAGGACTGAAATTTTGAAGACACCCACACACACTTAGGCTCCCTTGTCTCCAGAGTCAACTCCTTCCAGGGCAGCCTGTTGACCATTTCTGCATTCCCTCAAGAAGGCTTTGTGACCTTTGTTGCCACCACAACAAAGAAAATGAAGCCATCCTCAGCAGCCTGGTGAAATTGTGAAGCTGGGAGATGTTGTGCACACGGGAATTTCTTCCCAGCAAGGTTCCAGAGCTGGATGTCTACAGATCCTTTCTGGAAGACCAGCTAAAGCTTGCATAAGCGTGACTCTAGCATTAAGCACAGCCAGCCTGATCACCAATGCTGGGTCGTAGTAGCACATTCTGCAGGTTCAGCAGTTTCCGAAGCGTGGCTTTCACTGCATACAGTATTTTATATTAGCTCAGTCAAAGCTCGAGACAATAGCATTTGTGGGAGAATTTGGGATTGTTTACCAGCATTGGGCTTCAGACCTTTAATTTCTCATTTTCTTTGCTCTGTTTCATCTGTTCTTGTTATTTCCATAGATGGAAAGACGGACTCTCAGTTTAGACAGAAAAGGAGAGGGCTGAGACTGAGCCCAGCTCAGCTTCTGTGCTTATGGAATTGGCGTAACATTTTGCAGCACAAAAGCTTCTCAGTCTTACTGTTCTGGAGGTCAACGTAGTTTTTCATGGGAATAAAAGCCAGAGAGTATTTAGCATAACTTTTCACTCAGCTGAGCTGTCTGTCACCATCAGAGTCATCATGACAATACACAATTGCATTTAGGTGCCATG